ATATTTTTTTTCCCGCCCTTAGGCACTACAAGGAAAAGGATTGATGCTCCGTGGAGGTCATTGAGGTAAAATTGGCTCGCAACCCCGTTACACATAGAGAAAACCACGAAAACTTTCATGCAGGCATTCAGCGCGTTCGCCAGTACTCGAACTCCGTACCGAACAGCCAGTGTTCAGCCGCTTTTACCGCTCGAGAGCTGATATCCTATCATTTGCTTTTTTTCCCAATACATATAGCGATACTACACTTGCGGAACAAACATTCTGTTTTCTTCTTATTATTATTTATTTATTTCCTATTTCTAAGCTCTTGGATGGTTACAACATATGAATCTTTTAATATCTGTAAATCTTTTTGACGAACGAGACTTGAAACAAAGACGCTTGCATACTATTCTTGGTCGTAATCCTGAAATTCTATTAAATGTCACAACAGTGTACAACATGTTGTTCGTGTGTATGCAATTATAGTTCTAAAATTAAATTTAGAACGCTAAAAATGTAAAATATTCACCGAAGTACTGAGAAATAAAAAAAACTGGTTTAAAGAACAAATTGTATAAGATGGCAACATATCTTTCTCAACTATGAGCAATCGCATGCTTTACTATAAAAATAATCTGTCTCTTCATTTACGTTGCACGGAAGTAAATTAATTACATTCTTGTTCAAGAACTTTAGGAGTATTTCTATACTTGAAGTGGGCCCACCAGTGGCCTTGGGGTAAAGTAGCTGAAGACTGGTAGTTCGGTCTGGGATTCAAACCTCTGCAAATGGGCTGGCTCATGAGCGTTTTCGCGGTTTCCCCGTGTATAACGTGAATACGAGACGGTTTCTTTCAGAAAGTCCTCCACGAAGGCATCCGTCCGCATAAGCAGACAGTCCTTTTGAGCTTTGCCGTAATTAATAAACCAAACCAAACTATAATTCAAGTGAGCAGCTCTGAAAACCGATCAGATGTTTACTTCTTAGGAAAATTCCATTATGCGATATAAAATGAAGAAGTCTTTTGTTAAGTTTTGTCACTTTATTTGTTATTTTGTTTGTTTGTTTGTTTGTTAGGCTGAGTGGGTAACGGTCATATACAGTAAGGGTTGACTTAGTCTATATCAGCGGAGGTCTTTATCAACTAAGCAGGTAATGAATTTAAGGGATTCATTGGAGAGATAAAGTAATATAAGAAAAAGTGTAACGAAAATAAGAAACATTTGCGAATCCTTCTAGCACTCACTGATCTTTCGGTCTTTCTTCTATCTCACTATTTTGGTCTGATGCGTAATGGAAAATTGCAAATGTCCCATCGCCTTTTTATTGTGCTTTTGGGGTTTCTAAAAGTCTCGTATGTGTACCACTAGCAGTACAATTCATATTTTCTGGTGGTATAATGTTTACCCAAAAGATTTAAATGAATTAAAATGGCCCTTCTTTTAGTAGATAAATTGGGGCATGCTGGTACATATATATTTGATTCTTATTTATGTGGTAACAAATTTAAAAAGTTGGAGCATCCTATGGTAAAATGCATCGTTTACGTGTATTAAACAGGAGAGTAACAGTCAAGCGCCAGCTGACAATGAATTCTTAGGCATATTTCAGAAGATAAAAGGAGTTCGAAATTTTTAAATGTAGAAAACAGCGAACTACATTTTTCAGGTTTTCAGAGACGAAAAAAAAATCATCCGGGCTGCAGATTGGGAGAACAATAAAGGTTGCTGCGATGAGCGTGTTGCTGAGATAACAATAAAAAGGAAACGGACAATCTAAAATTTAGCCATAATAAAGCTCTATGCAGGAAGAGATACAGGGAAATGTGGACGGAGCACGAGAACTTCGTCAGTGACTTTTGACTTGACAGATATTGCTGCTGCGCCGCACTACTGTACTAGCTGGGCTATCGGTTGGCCCGCATCAGAAGCCAGCCTAACAAGACATTTACAGAGAAACTTTACATAAATGCTAGACTTACGTATTGAATATACAATTAGAAAAACACGGTATACTATTATTTGAAGCTTTATGCAAAGATCTTGGGTATTAGGAGCAAGGTCCTGGAACCCCACTTAGCCTTTCGATCTTTTTTTCTTTTTTTTTCTTTTATCAAAATGTGCCGAGTCATGTTACGGATGATAGAATTATAAGAATCACAAAAAAAGGTTAAAATTTCTTTAAAAAAAGATCTAGTGCCTTGTAAATAAAAAAGAATATAGTAAATTCGATAAAATTTTATAAAATTTCATAATTTGTGTGAATTTCGAAACACTTCGTTTTTTCTTTGTTTTTTACGAATGTTTTTCATGAACACTTATATGGATTACTTGTTTTATTGTAGGAAAAAAAATATTTTCTGTTAATGGAATTTTTTTAAAATTTTAAATGTAGTAATTACGTACTTACTTTTGAATTTTTAATAAACAATTTCAGAAAATCTTTTTGAAAAAAAGTTAAAAACATTTTTAATTTTGTTTTTATTAATTGAATTTCCGATTCTCTGTTCCGGGTGGGTACGGTTCCAGTTACCTTTGATCATAGACGTTCTATTATACATATATTTCATATCTTGTTGGAAAGAAAAATAAAACTAATTAAATTTTAGTCTCTCTTGACTGAGTTTCTGATTCTCGTGTGGTTACGGTTCTAATCACTACATTCGATCATAGACGTTCTATTGCACAAATAACATCTTAAAATGCAGAGTAATAAAACGTAAACTTAAGGGAGAGATCACAGGTTTTAAAAGTCACTTTAAAACTCGATACCGAATTTCGATTGAAAATCCCCTACGTTTTTGTCTCATTAGTTTTCCTGTAGCTTAAGATGCGAAACGTTGGCTTTTTAATTTAGAACCGATTCTCTACGAAACGAATATGCTTGCTTGAGTGTTTCCTTTGGTTGATTGCCCAGTGCCGTTAAAAAATAATCAGTACTGCTCCGGAAACCCCGAAGTAGGAGAGTTCATATTTTGCTAATTTGTACTTATTTATGAGAACATGCAGGTTGGATTCTAAAACACTATAAAAGCCTGGAATCTCGATTCTGCAGGATGAACTAAAATTCGTGCCCATCAGACCTTCAAAAACTTTGAAAATGGTGTATTAATGTCAAATTGCTTCAGTAAATAAATAGATATATTTAAGTTATCTATTTATTTTAAATATAATTTAGGTACTATATTTAATCTTTATACTGTTATAAGAAATATATCGCTTGAAATATCAGTTGAAGTTCAGGCTGTTAGCTTTAAAAACAGTTTACTTGAAACAAAATGTTCATGAATTTTTTGAAACAGAAAGAACATTTATGCTTGAAGATTATTTCGCAAGGCGTTCTGAAGGTATAGCAGCATTTAAAAGTGACCATGCGAATTCCCGTGAACATAACAAGACAGCGATTTTTTGCTTTGTGATCTGTTTTCTATAGAAACTAGATACAATAACCTTATGAGGAGATGTTTCATCGGTCTTTTCTGAGTTCAGGTTTGGTTTATGCGAATACCACAAAGCCTTGAGGGCTAACTGCTTGAAGATCATCCACGATGCCTTCTTGAAGGACAAGGACAACTAGTTAGTATGAATGTTATACACGGGGAAAATCACGAAAATGACAATCAACCATGAAATGTCGAAATAAAATTCTGTAGTAATCAAAACTCTATCGATTCTATCTGGCAGAAATTTTTTGTGCCTAAACATAAGGTTTTGTTTATTTATTACTAGCAGCTACGCGGCCGGGCTTCGTTTAACTTTTAAATGTATAGGGAAAATGCCTAAAGGGAAAAACCAAACATTAAATTTAAAACTGCACAGAATTTTAATCTACAGAACAATTTTATATATAAATATAAAAAAAGACTCAAATTTAAATAAACATATCGTATTACATATAAAAAATTACAATGAAATAAGCAATTCCCTTAATACAAATATTAAATACGCTAATAAATAAATTAAATAACTTCCGGTTGCCTTCTCTCACCAAACGTCCAGTATCCAAGAGAAAAATTAAATTTAAAAACTGCACGGAATTATAGCTCCCATTTTCCAAGTGGCAACAGTGATGATTTTCAACAGACAGCAGTCCAATATACAAAGCATTGAATTAAGAACTGTAGCCAAAACCATATTTCTAAAAGAATGAAACTATTCAAAATGAGGCGATTTCATCAAAAAAGATAAAATTAAAAAAAATGTGATTCGAATTTTGAAAAAAATCGCTTGGAGGGTCACTGGCTCTTGGCTAGATGCACCTATATGTACCAAATGTCGTAGCCAAATGGGTCTATTAGCTTACGCACCAATGCGCCTATTAGCTTACGCACCAAATGGGTCTAGCTTACGCACACCACTAACGAAAGACACACACACTCTTTCTTTTATTATATGTAGAGATTATTATTATTTTAATGGCCGGATGCTTTATTTAATAGCCATTAGCCGTCACTAACAGGGGCAAGAAGTGATGATCTTTTCATTATGGAAGCACCAATAGATGGCCACCATTGCCTCCTATGAAGAGAAGGACAGTTACAACCATGCCCTCTCCGGAATTCGAACCCAGGCCCATTTAATTAGTGTAAACTTCCTTGAAATAACGCCCCTTCCCATCAGGGGCCTCTGTGCAGGGCACAATCCGAACACCTGCAAAGGGCGCCCCTGAGTTAAGATAACAAGGAATGGAGTATGACTGTTTCAACTTTCAAAATATCGAAATATAAATTTTAGGACACATCGAACATCGCTGGTGTTTCTTGAGGTTTCATCCGCTAGGAGTTTTGACCACTAGACCTTTGAATGGAAATAGAAGAATAACTGCTTTTGCGCAACTTGGATTGGTATCTAAGTTAAACAAACATGAAAATGTTGTTTGCTATATAAGAAATACAAAATATAGTTGAAACCATAATACACTTAGATGAAGTAGATTATATATCAAGAAATTGTATTCTTGGGTTGAAGACTTGAAAATTATTTGCACAGTATATAAATGCGCTAACATTAGAATAATAAAATGCGTTGAGCGTAATAATCTGAGGATGCCATCTTTGCGCAGAGGCCCTGCTAATCTTCTCTGTATCGCAAATTTTAGGAACTTAAATGCGCCAAATTAGGGAAGCTAATTATGAAAAACTAATGGTTGGAATTTTTAAAGATACCATTTTTCTAGATTAAAACGAGCTATAATATTAGATACTATCGCAAAATCAGGACTGTGAAGTTAAAGCCATGGAAACCTTTACTTCTGGACCGAAATACCTAAACAATTTACCCCCAAATCATCAAAAAAAAAATATAAATATACTGTCATCTCATAGTGTTCTGGGGAACTCACTTCCACGATGCGAACAATTTTTTCAAGAAGCAAAAATCTCTAATGTCCAGTGTGCGCGCCACTTTAATGACGGCTGCATAATGGAATGTGCACATCTGAACACCTGCAAAGTGTGGTGGCGGTTCTACACAGGCGTGTAGAACCGCCAACATCGAGATAGATAAGGCCTGCGCGCTGAGTTACTACGTCACTGCTAGGGGACCGGTCTTCGCGCAGTTTAACTTCCTTGCTAAACACCCGTTTTTCTAAACCTATTCTATGAAATTGGTATCTCATACTATAAAATCAGTCTAAAACAAAATTACAAGCGGCAATATAATGTTTTACAAAGCTTATACGAATATGAAATATTTTCATTTTCTTTTGTTAGTATTTATTTTCAAAACAAAATTATTTGAGAATGGTGTGGTGCTTTTAAAAGCAAATCATTTCTTTGAAGAAAAATTGGTTTTAAAATTCAAGTAGCTAAAATTTTTACTTTGATTTTTCTGCACTGTCTTTGTGTCTCTCGTTGATTCTCATCACCGCATCAAATTTTTTTCTTTCACCCACTACTTTAACAAAATGTTTGCCAGTGGGAACACATGTTATCTCTCATTCTATAATTATTGCATATTTTTTATATCTATCATATTAATGTAGCAGGATTATAAAACATCAAACGAATGCAAGAGACTACTTAATATTTAGACTAACATTTAAACGACTTAAAAAACTTTTAGAAATATTTAAAAAACTTTTAGAAACTGAAATTTCTTGCAAATATTTGTATCATACCTATTATACTACAAGCGTTACCTCTGTTCTGAAAATATTTTTTCTATTAATATCCACATAAAAAAATATAAATCCTAACATCATGTTCAAAACTTTTCTGTAAGCAATTTTTTTAACTTAACTTACATAGCTTTTGGTGGTGCCACGTACTCAGATTAAAGATTGTAATTTAAAAGATAATTAAAAAAATTGTTTTTAAAATTGCATTGAATTGAATACAATGAAAACAAGTATGTCTACATATGAATTCAATTACTACTGCTTCTTCAATAACTGTTCATTTTGAAGTTTCGCAATTTAATTACCTTAATATGAATCTTACATACATTACTTTAGAAACTTTTCTATCATTCTCAGAAAGATTTATATTGCATAACAAATTTTAAACAAACTGATTGCATGATAATAACATATATAAAAGTGAACAAAATCTATATTAGCTAAACATATGCATTTAAGTTTCATCATGATAAAATGATATTTAACGATTTGCAAAAAACATTGATATTTAAATTTAAGAACACAGTACTTTGTCAAGAATCAAATTTACTCTGCATTTGATATTCTACATATTATGTAATGAAATATATGTTATGCTTTTAACCCCTTACGACAGTTATTTCATATAAAATTAGTTTCCAATAAAAATAAATAATCATAAATTTTGCTGACAATTTTTATATTACTAGTGTTAGTAATTATTACAAGAGATGATGCTTCAGATGTCAAAAGTAAACATAAATTCAATTCTTAAAACATAATGGATAAAAAATTACAACTTATAAAAGCCAACAAAATGTTTGCTGAGGGTCTCTTAACCGTGACGTCACAAGCCAGTTTCGTTTCAGAGCGCAGGCCTTATCTATCTCGATGGTGACGGTAGAACACATTAAAATTTGCTGTCAACTAAATTGATCTTTTCAACTGATAAAGATCGGAAAACCAAAGACATTTTCTCGTCTGTCGTCTGAAAAATCCATGAAAACCCGAATTCGTATATTTTTATTTTTAATTTCTTTTTATCAGTTCCTTAATTTGACATAACCGCAAGAAACCCGATACTTAACTGATATGTTAGCACATTTCATCTTTGAATTTATATTGCTTTGATCAGTACTCTAATTTAGCTCGACTAATAATGCGATTTAACTGTTTTGATCAGTTTTGTAATAGAACATATCTGCAAGAATCACGCTCAAATATTTTATATGCTAATGCATTGCATTTCTGAACGCGAACTGACGGTCTTCTAATATAATAATGAGTAGCAATGATTAAATAAGATTTAGGCTGTAAGCATTTGCAGAAATTAATTTTCCCACATGCAATTAAAGTTATTAAAATTATCAGCGCGCTGCATTAAGAACATTACCGAAAGTCACGCTGTCCGTTATGCCAAATTTCAATCCAATTCATTTGGAGCTGGAGTTGTCATCTTAGAAAGGTTTCAGGTCTTTTTTTAATACCTGAAAAATGTTTTAATGTGAATGTTTTGAACTTTTGTTTGAATGTGATGTATTTTACATTCAGAGTATTATATCTGGGAAAAAATTAAATTAGAAATAAAACTGAGATATGTTTGTGATATAAACGATACAGCATTAAATTTATCTGTGCAATATAATTAACAGTAGTATTGTAAATATCTTATATCATGTGTAATAATTTCATAATAATCTCGCAAATTATGAGTCCTCATTCTATAGTCTGTTACTTAAAAGAAGGCACTATAAGATCGTTGCCACTCTTTCCCATTTGCGATCGTAATGCATGTCACCCTCATCGCATAGCCGTAGAACTTATAATAAATATATTTATCATATAAAATAAATTTTTTATAAGGCCCATGTATTATTTTGATGATTTCGATACAGTGTTTAATTGAGAAGTAGAAAGTATATTTTGCCATGGTTAATAGAGGTATGAGTTTTAAACGTTAGTAATTCATTACGAAAGGTACTTGGGAAGTTGAGTGAGAATTTTTCTAGAACATGACCAGCACAGGCAATTACTAGAGATTCTAAATTGCAGAAACTTTCCTGTTGAGAGCATCATTCTTAAGAAGCTGAGCTGGCTATGGCTAACTCACTTGAAAAGGCTTAGCAAGATGATTTTGGGCAAATAGTACATTTTTCTCTTTATTCCTTCTTAAATAGTGTTGTATTTTGATACGTTCTGCAGGCAGTCGATTAAGAGCTTGTCGCCCGAATTGCTGGAATTAATATAGAGCAAACTTTTATACAGTTTCAAAAATGGATCATAAACTTAAATGGATATTAAATTTTAAATTATGCCCTAAAAATCCTTTAAATATGAACAAAGGAACTCAAGTTAAGAACCACGTGGCTGAACCAATTCCGACCATCTGAAGAATCAGACAAAAAAAATGTTCAGTAAAAAAGTTCTTGATTCGAGAAAAGGACCTGAAAAAGGCATTCCTATGCCTAGGAAATTTCATTTAAATTCAGACAATAATTTTTAGCTTATTTATGGATTTCTTAAAAATTTTAAAAGAAATAAATAGCATTCTTTCGGTTTACTCCATCTTTGACATAATATACAAGATAGCTGGAAGAATGACAGAAATTTAGGGGAGCCCGCATTCCAGTTGACAAACCAATCGCATTATTTTCTATATTTGAGAAATTTTCGGTCAAAATTTACTTGGAAGCGCAAATTAGTTTTAGATATTACCTTTTTTCCTATCTTTCTCAACTTTTCGATGGCAAATTATTCTCTGTATTTTCCGTATGTTTTGGCATTTTTAATTGCATGTTTTAAAATTTCGTTTGTGGTGTAAATGACTTATTATATATTCTGGAATTTTTCGTACCCACTCTATGAATATTGTTATGACTGTTAACCTTCATTTTTATATTAAGTACTTAGCTCGATAACTGGCCTTCTTCTCCTTATGGAGATATTTCAAAACTTTCGAGTGGCCTTAGTTTATTTAAAATTCTGAACATCCTTTGCTTAATTTAATATGTTAATGTGAAGTTATTGTTGACATTCGCGATTCAAGGAATATTTCTCGATTAAGATTAGATGTCGAGTCCGAAGAACCCCGATGCTGCACCGTTAACTTTTGAGCCGTTTTGTAAAACAACCGATTAAGGAATTTTCGCCAGAATTCCTACAATTGATGCAAAATAAAATTTTATGTAATTTATGCAGGAAAATATTATTAAACTAATGTCTGAAGTGTTTACAAAATCTTTTGTAAAACTAATGTTCGTTATTCTAGTCCTGACATATTTGAATTCTTCCTGTGAGTAAGCAACAAACCTGCGTTTATAGTTAAAATACTATGTGTATAGATTAAGTGTTACATATGGAGATTAATAAGTTCTACATTCTTTTTTCGTTTTCCTTAATTTAATTTTCTGTTTATACAATTACACATTTTTTATAGTTGGGTCCTTATAGCGCAAAACAGAAATGAACTATTTTAAAATAACGTGTTTGTCAATAATTCCTATAAAAATCATCAATGAAAGTATATATAAGTATATCTGTATTATGTAATGCAGTCGTCTTCAAAGTGTGTTCCCCGGAACACTGGGGTTCAGCGAGTAACCCTGGAGTTCCGATAGTCAAAATAAAAATTCAGTAAATGACATATACCAAAGTGAATGGCGTGCCACTGGAAAAGGAATTACATTTAGACGACAGCATTAAAAATTGTATAATAGAGCACCTTTTTCGGCTGAAAAAAATTATAAGACAAAATTTCCCAGAGTAGAAAACAAAGTATCATTGGATAAAACACCCGTTCGATTACTATGATAAATTAGAAAACTTGCCAATGAAGGAACAAGAATATATTAACAGATTCGACTCTACATTTTAATACCATTCGGAACAAATTGCAAAATGAAAAATTTTTCTTCACGTATTTGGCAACAGTAACAAAATTCAGAAACAAATTAAGTGCAGAATATAAAATGCGGCTTCCAGATAACATCAATAAAGCCAGACTCGCATTTAAATACAAGTAA